TTGTGGTTATTACCATTTTTTAGCAAATTGTGATTACATCTTCTACTTTCTCAAAGTGCTTCATCCACTATTGAAAAGGAGGAAAGGGGGGCAGCTTGAGTAGGTCTAATGCTCCCACTGGGTTTTAAACCAGCACAAGCATACTTTGAGAAACTAGCATTTGAACTTCATATTTTGAACTACTTCAGTCTCCCTTGAAGTGCCTTACACACAGAGGGCTTCCCCTGGGAAATATCCAGCAGACCACATACAGACAATTTCCCATCTAAATGCTGTGGCAGAGAATTTATTTTGTTTTATAGCAATCTATTCTTCTTCATGGAGATGAAAAATAGGAAAAGAAAGGGGACTATGACCTCAGCAGTATAAGGTTACTAAATGGCTGAATGCGGCATGAGACCACTGGCTTTTAGGTTTTGTTTGCTTCTGACACAAGAGTGACCTCTTACACCTTCCAAACAAGCACTGCTTACCCACAAAGGTGCTTGAAAAGACCCTAACTCACTGGTTTGAGATTATGTGGTCTTCCTAGAGGGGCTGCAGGACACCTAATTCTTTCAGTGATGTAGTCTTGGTTGAGAATCCTCCAAGTAGGTTTTGCTGCTGCCTTTCTGAAGGGTCTAGATCCAGAGACTAATGTTGGATACTTAAGTGAAATATATACTTTTGGATATTTAAGTGAAAGAGACACTTTTGAGCACTACCTTAGCAGATAAAGCTTTCTCATGTGATGAGTCACATTTTAGGTAGTGACAATGATGTTACTAAAGAAATTCTGCCCATAAGGACATGTAAGAAATACAGGCATAAATATCTATCGGTGGTGCCTTTTTTTTTTTGCTCAGAGGTGAAAAAAATATGCCAAAAAAAAAGAAATTAGAAAAAAAGCCAGACATGCTAAGGGAAATGTACCTTCTACTAGTAGACAAGAACTTTTCCTCAGTATTTATTATGCTTGCAGGTGAATGTCATAACTAAACATAAGGAGGTTTGCATTTTTCTTCTCTCTTAAATCCCACTCCTTTGATTCACATGTCACTTTCATCAAAAGAGGTCACTAGAAAAAAGTGGCATCAGCCATTATAATTTTGGCAGGCTGACAGTCAATTTTGTCACCTCCTACAACCCACACATCACATTACAGCATGATTCCATGACCATATTCAAAGCTAGCCAGGATCTGGTGCAGGCTCTGAAAAATGAGTCCTTGGGATACGGCTTTCAAGTTAACGAAGCAATTTTATATAGAGGAATGTGAAAAGGAATAGGAAATAACATTCTGTCTTTTTTCAGCATATTTCCAAAGAAGCATTCTGATCTCTTTTTTGTTGTAAGCTGAATAAATCCTATGATCGGATTTTACAAATAAAACTGAATTTGAAAGGAAAGTCTGTATTCCTTGAAGGCCAAAACAATCAAGATTGTTATGTATTTTCAGATTCCTCCAGACCATAAGATCTATTACTGCCTCAGACTTAGGATGCAGAGGATTTATGCCAGCATATAAACTGCAACATATGAGAAGCCTTATGAATCAGTGTAAAAATTAGATAGAGTAAAATGGTGAAGGAATCATCCTGTAAGTAATCTTTGTAATTTCTAGAGATACCTCACTGAAAGCTAAAGCTGTAGTGCATGCATCTGGCCATGACTGTGATAATATGCCTAAGGAGACATAATTCCACAGAAAGCATGAATTAATTGTCGTTATTAAGGTATAGTTAGTTGGAAGATATTATCACCTCTGTTTAAGAAAGAAGACAATAAATAGATATGAACAGCCTGAGCTCCAAATACAATTTTTATCTGAGGAAAAAATAAAGTCTTTTGACAAAAACCTCATCATTAAGGAAGACAGGTAATGTAGTTATAATTTTCATTAATCCACAAAAATAGTGAAAATTGTCAAATCTTAAACTGTGAAAAACCAAAAATTATGAAAAGTGCTAGATTCAGCTTTTGTCTGACTACTATTAGAGCTCTAAAGGAAGATGTGCTACACTTAGCTGTCAAGATCTTTGAATCACAAATATAAACTGAAGAAAGGTACCTACGAAAAACATCTGCACACTACATTTTGCATCATGGGAATATCTGAATAGAAATGAAACCCAGGCATTGATCTTTTTAAAATGTTACACATGACTTAATACAAAATAAAAATTCCAAGTGATCTATTGATCTGTACATTCAAACAAATGGAGCAACTGACACTGCCTTTGGAAGAATGAAAATCAGTCCTTGGAATTCACTCTATGCCTATTAACTACATTGGGAGTTTAATCTGCACTCACAGTGCTTTCAAACATTTTATTAGAAGTTCCAGGCAAAAAAAGACCAACAAAAACCAAACCACCTTGAAAAATAGTCCTGAAAAAAGGAATCTCTTCCTATTTAGAATGCTCCTAATTATTCAGAAAGTCATGCTTCTTTTTGTATATTCTTATGATTTAAGTACTGCACTGTTTAAGAATAAAAATAAAATCCTTTAAATAAAAATCTTATCAAAAGTTTGAAAAACCAATGCATTGCCACATTGTTTTACGGGAAGAAAAATATTTCCCTGGAAAAAAAAAAAAAGAGATAGGAGGTAAGACAGGATATACTTTCCTTGTAGCTAGAGAATATATGAGACAGGCTTGAAATCTCTGTACCCTCTGGGGTTTACCATAAATACAGCACCTAGTAAGCCCTGGCCAAAGCCCATGTAGCTAAGAAGCTAGCTGCACACAGTCTATCTTCTTTTCTGCTGCACTCTTAATCTTCTTAACAGTTCATCACGGTATTCAGTTCCCTGAAGTGCATTTAGCATGTTCAAAGTGTAGTAAAAATACCTCGATTGCTATTGCACATAGAAGTAAAAAGATGCATTGAAGCACAGTAGTCATTTTACCAGGGTCAGACATGATTTTCTACCTCTACTGGTATCAAAATACAAATTTTGGTGTAATCTGCTTATTATTTACAAAATCAGATCATATGAAGGGGTTTTAACATTCATTTAATTAGTCACAGACTAAGCAAACATTCATTAACTGTGGATGTTAATAGTATGGACATTTTCACAATGGCACTTTCCTTTTAATGTTTGCTACATTCCTTTTTCATGCCTCTTAATTATAAATTATATACCAGCATAAACATTATATTTACAAAAAGCATTTAAACATATTGCTTCACATTTCTGAAAGATGACTGGGCATAGTTTTGCAGAAATTCTTGCAAGAGATACGTATTTTCTTAAGAGAGATTACATATAAATATGTAATATTTATATTATAAAAAATACACATTTTCATTGCATTATGGTTTTCTTATGCAGAACTTTGCCATTTTTAATAAAGAAAAAACAAAACTACCTATTCTAAAATATTTTGGTAATTAAGATTTCATTTTTTTTTAATGAGAAAACAGTTGCCCTCCAAAAGGCTCAATGTTCATATTTGGTTTGTATGTGGCTATTGTTTAAAATTTCCTGAGTTGGTCAATTGAATCCACTAAAATTCTACATAGTAAAAGAAAAAGTAACTTTTATTCTAAGATTCTGCTGTTATGAGGAGATGTAAAAACTCACATCCAGAAGAAAAGAAGCTACCTATTGTCCAGACCTTCATAAAGAGTGAAAATAGTTTAGATATTAATTTATAATTTACTCATTCAAACACTAATTTTAAAAACAGAGTGAAAGATTAGCATGAATTGCATTTCTTTTAATCAGGTCATTAAGGCTAATAAAAGGGGGAGGTTCTAAACTCTTGCTGTATCTAATAACTGTGGAATAACCATGCCCAGGGGGAGGTTCCCAGTTACAAAACTTAAGTCTGACCAACTATTATAAGGTTTGCTTCATAAGTGTCATTGAAGGGAAAAAACTTGTAAACTAATGAATAGTGTTGGTTCCTTCTTACAGTTACTACTATGATAGAATAAGGATTAAAATCTTGCCTCCCAAGGAGGGACATTTTCAATACTTTGATGTAATTGCTAAATATATCATTTAAGGAATAACTCAGAGGAGTAGGTTTCTGTATTTCTTGGTGCCTTGGTGATCAGCATAAGTCAATTGTAAGCAATTTGAGCTCAAATTCAAAGCTCAAAGAGAAGACATGGACTAGTAATACATAAAGTGAAATTAAGGGTAGAAAGAGACAATTAATTTGTAAAGATCCTTGGTAACAGGAGCTTAATCTACATTGCATTAAAGATGCTTGAAACTGTATTTACCTATAAATTAAACCATAACTGATTTATATAGGATGACCTTAAGCCGATAGAACTTCAATATCAGCTCCCAGTCATTAACTTTATTTTACTAATTTATAGAATTACCACTCACCTAACACTTATTCTCGTCAAAATTTTAGCTAAGCAAAAAGTTGTATTGCCTGTAAACATATTAGAAAATGAAAGGAATTTTTTTCCATGTTTCAAAATAAGAAAAATGAGACAAGGTAGAAAGTTGCTAAAACAAACACCAAGAGAAGACTTTTTTGTCATTCACTCAAAAATAAGTTCAGGACTGAAAAGAAATTAAACTTTTTGAGACATCAGGTATAGTATTTTTGGTTATTTATTAATTAAATATTTTCATTTCCTGGTTAAATTACAGATATGCTAACAGCATAAAACCTTATCTCTGAACATAAATTAAATGCTTAATATCCAATACATAAAAGATTAGACACTTCTTTATCCTAAAAAGACAAAAATCACTCTCCTCTGACATTTTGCATGAAAAGTGGAACTGTATATGATGCACCTGTCAAGACTAAAAATAACTTACAAATAACTTATTCTAAAAGATAAAAAGAAAAGAGGCTAATGATGACCAAAAAAGGTCACTGAAGTAGACCATGCAAGAAATTTCTTTAAGGCACTAATCAGACCTAAACCTGATTAACTGTCTAATTGGCTTGATTACCGATGGCAAGAAAACATGTGCTATAAACCTGTTCATGGTAAAAGACTTATTGAAGCTTCAGGGCAGCTGAAGGGGCAAGATGTTCAGAAAACTAAAATCAGTATTTTCTAGACCAAAATTAGCACCTGAGATAACAGATTGCAAGAAAGAAGGTGCCCCTCCACCACCAAAGGCATCAACAGGCCAGGTATGGTTTTACTTGTCTATTATAGATTCTCTAATACTATATTTTTGTTTGTAGTAGGTATTTATGTAAGTAAATGCCAAAGGTTAGAATTCAAAATATACTTACTGAATATGCTATCAATCTTTATTTAGAAAAATGAAATAAATGTCTTTATTCTCCTACACCCTACCATCTTTTCTTTATGGAGAAAATATAATTTTCTCCTTTTGAAAGCTGCTTTCAGCTAGGGCTAACCTGAAATAGTACAGGCTTATGAGAGGTCGTGATCAACATTGCAAATGGAGAATTAGAGATACAGGTACTGCTGCTGTTTTTCATATGATGATATATTTTTATGCATCTTGTTTCCTTCTGGCAAGAAATGTCAGTGTGTCCTTTCTGAATATTAGAATGTCATGCAGGTATATATCAGCCTGCTTCCTGATAACCACTGGAAAGACAAAGTTATTTAGTAGCTTTTTAAGGAGGTTTTTTTTTTCAGCTTGGTTTTGATAATGTAAATGCTCTTGGAAAAATAAAGTCGTATTAGTTTACAGTCTCTATTTTTATATAGTAGTTCTTCACTGTAAAAGTTAATTCATTCTTTTCTATTTAATAAATGAAATATTTTAAACTGAAGCAAAAGGATAAGTACTCCTTCTCTCATTGCCTTTGAATTTTTATTTTTTCCCAATAATTTCCCAAGAAGTGTTTGTTTTTTCCAGCTTGACATTATCAGAACTTTACAAGACAAAATGGCAATGATTTATGGTTTCAGCAAATAATTAGGGAAGTGAAAAGGGTTCTTTAGTATCAGCCTGAGCTACTAATCATTCATGCTTATTGAAACAATCAAAATTCCTCCATTATAAAGATAATTTTAAGTAAGCGGGTGTATCCATACTGCCATCCACAAAAAATGGCAAAAATATCTGTGTTCAATAATCTTTATATACTGCATTGTTCATGCTTCTTTCACAGTTCACTATTCTTGTGTCAATAAAATGCTGTTTTAAAAGAAGAAAGCTCCTGAATATCGACAGGTTAGTTCTGTGCAGGCTGATATCTCACTTGGCAAAACTCTTTAGCAAAACAGATATATTTAGATTTCACTGGGGACAAGGATTACTCTTTTGGCAAGAATAATATCGTACATCAGGGCAACATTCAGGTTGTATCACCATCAGCCTACACTCTTCAAAACACTGCTAAAATGGAGGCACAAGAATGGATTAAGGATTAAGACATTTCCTGCCTGCAGGGAGATACCATCTAAAGAGTAAAGAATAAAGAGAAATATATAATATCTGGTAACTTATTACTATACTAATTAATGCACTAATTTATGTATTTATGTATTTATGTATTAGGAGAGAGCTTGAAACAAAGAAAACATCCCTTACAACAAAACATCATGCAAGAACCTTGAGTATGCACAGACTTTGATTGGAATTTTAATATACATACAAATAAATATATATATAAAATTTATAATTCAGTACTCTATACATATGTATATTAGAACTTCCGTGCCTGGCTCTCCAAATAAAAACAGACAGGAAAACACAAATATTTTCATAGAAAAGAAACAAGCCCAAATTTATTCTCAGAAACACAAACAGAAGGATGGTCACTGACCTAGGGAAGGAAAAAATAAAAAGTGCATGAAGACCTGAAACCTCCTGATGCCAAATAATTTTTCTATATGCTGATACAATCAATCATCCTTCCCTATTAATAAGTAAGCTGCACAGCAGGAAAACTCCTATATTTTATAGGAGACTATAGGATGCTATATGGGTAGCAAATGCTCATGGGCTTGATTAGCACAATGCTGTTATGTAGGATTGTGAACGCCTAGGACTCCCCATGCACATCTCACTCCTTCCTCCAAAGGCCACCCTGTTAAAACTGAGATGAATCAAGGTACAGGCACACAAGATTTAGTTAATGGATCTAGGTCAGCAAGTGTGGGAGGAAGTTAATTTTTTGCAGTGAAAGTTGATACCACCTCAGTATTTTGTAGAGATTGAGACCTGTCGCTGTGGTAAGGCAGCTCAAAGTACACCAGGTGTGCTGGCCCAACAGAAGGTTTAGGCAGAATCATGTCTAACTCAGAGATACACAGTGGCTTGTGAGAGGCAGAGCTGAACAAGTCAGCTCTGCCAACAGGCAGCAGCAGAACTCCAAGCTAAGAAACTGGGTTTGCACCGAGGATGTGAAGATATCAGTTTTTAATTTCAATATCCATCACAAGTCCTTTGGCAAATCCATCTGGAAACACGCAGAACACCCAGGAACAATGGTCAGTGTTTGGCAGCTCAATCAAATTCCTACAAAAACGTTGCAGACATCAAACCATCCTTATTATTCTCAACAATGACAATCTACGGTTTTTAACCTTGTGTATTTTTTTAAGGATGAAAATAAAACAACAAATGAACCACAGAAAGCAGAGGCCAACAATAAAGCAGAGCCTGTACCAAAGCAACAAGGTCAGTAATAAGCTATTTATGAGTTTTCAAAGACTATTGGGACACAGTATATGTATAGTCTATACGATTGTAAATAAAACTCTTGCTCTTCCTAGTGCTCTGCCAGGAGCTCTTATTTTTTATTTGTAGAAAAAACTAAGATTTCTGAATTGTCATTGACCCCAGGCGAATGATTTGGTACAAGTACAGGAACAGTATCCAACAGTAACAAAAGGCAACAACCTTTCAAGCACAGTCCCCCACCAAAATGAGCTTTCCCCCTCTGATCAGTTAGTTGAGGAAGCTCTATTTTTCCTTACTGCAATTTGACTTCTTAGAAATGTTAAAATAAAGGTATTTAGTAGATTAAGAAGAAAAAAGCATATTTTTAATGGTTCTTTAAGTGATACTTCTCACATGTACCAGAAAAAACAAGACAGACTTGAAACTACCTGACATTCAAATATTTCACTGAACAGCCATTCCAAACCAAAAAAAAAAAAAAACCCAAACAAACAAACACAAAGCAATGCTGCTAAAAATATTTGCAGCAAAGCAAAGACTGAGGAATCTTCAGCTTTCTGTGATTAAAATAATCTAAGCAGAGTGGAGCAAGTGGAAAAAGATTATAAGGAAACTTCCATATTCCTTACTTGTGTTTGTGCAATCATGGCAAGTGTCATAATTTCTTTCTTCATATAATGAAATTTCAAGCAAAGTCCATTTAATGCAATTATCCTGTTATATAATGGCTGTAGCATGAAATCAAGGGAAAACAAAGTCTGACATGAATTAACTGTAGTAACAATGGAAAAAACCAAATTTTATATTAGACTTTTTAGCGAAATTAAGTCACAGATGCTATCTTTTCACAGAATGGAATATCACTGTAGAAATTCTTTTTATTTCTATTAAAAACTTAATGTAATTTTACAAATCAGTATAACTCATTAAGATATATTTTGGAGTTTAAAACTACTTTTTTTCCTTTTAAAATGTAAGTGTTGGTATAGTAGCAACTACACCATTAATTACTTCAGGAAATTATAATATCACAGGCTCCATGTTTTTTGGGGGAATTAATTAATTAATTTTGGAAGGCACTTCAAGTCTCATTTTCAAACAGCTGCAAGGCACTGAGGGTATGAATGAGTTAGACAATGGCTATACAAGCCAGAAAATTTACACAGGGACCACACCTAAAGAGAAGCTTAGGAATTTCACCACCCTGAATGTAAGTCTCTGTCATCTGAGCCAAATAAGGAACTTCTTTATCTCTGGACAGAAAATGGAGGTGGGTCTAAAGCAGTTCACAGGAGGGTCTAGATAAAACTTCTGCAAAATTCTGTGACCTTATGTCAGACCAAAAATCATGTGGTTATCTTCTGAAAGAAGTAAATGAGAATTTGTGTGGGTAAGCAGAGGAGAGACTAGAGAAAGCATTTTATGCTGTATGTAGAAATTTGGAGAAATTATTAAAAGCACAGCCAGGGCTCAAAGAGCATTAGTTAAGGCAGATCAGCTAAATGGAGAACTTCAAATGTGTTAGAGAAAAGTCTTTCCAAGGTCTTTCATTACTTTCTCTGTTATAATCAAAATAAAATACACCAGTAAAACCCTTAATCATAGTATAAGTTTGCAGAGCCATCGTGCTAAGTACAAATCAATATTCTGAGTAGAGCTTATCTTCACCCCCCCTTCTTTTCACATGACCAAAACCAGTCATTACCTTCTCCCTTTCTCCATGTACTTCACAAAACAGCACAATGTTTCCAGCACACATGATAATCCAGCAGGAAGTACCACTGGAGCCTGTTTGATTAAAACTTGGCCACTTAGGTCAGTCAGGAACATCTGGTACTTTTGGCTTCTTTGTTGGCTACTCATTGCCCTATCTCCACCTCTTCAGTTGCCCTCTCTCTCACTAGCTTGCTTTGCATAATTAGTTCACTATGTAATTAATTCTTTGTGCTTAGTCAGTTTGTTCCATAATGGATTAATTTTTTTAATTTATTCCCTGCATTTTTTTTGTGTTCTTAACAAAGTGTGATTCACCTAATTACAGGTTCTCTGTGATATTGAATCCAATTGCTATAATTTCTTTGCATGTTTATCACCTCCCATAATTGACTGGCTGTACAAATGCTTCCCTTGTTTTACCCACTGCTGTTCAATAGCTTTCTTGGTGGTTATGCTCTTTAAAAGGACACATCCAGCCTCCACCTGCTAGCTGGTGACTGCATTATCATTCTCTGGTTTATAATTTCTTTCATCCTCCTGATGGATAATTCCAGTTTGATTCTTTCCAATTACATTTTCATATTTTTTAAGTCTGTCCTCATCTTTACATTTTTCCTGCACTAGAAATTAATCTGCTTCCAATATTCTGGGTTTTGATCTTCTACTAAATCACAAAGCTATTTAGTAGAGACATGTGTCACTTGAAACAAGTGTCTCAAATATGTTTTCCAGAATCACAATCACATTTGTTCAGCTTTTACTAAAGTGCATATTGACACTGCTTTTTTCTTGGTAGGACTTGAGTGAGAAAGCTAAAATAAAACCATCATAGGTATTTCTACACATGCTGCAATTGCACCTCTGGATCATAAAGCAGACAGGACCTCCCTTCTGGGAAATTACCATGTTAATCTTCAGTGATATTTAGTATCTTCAGAGCCTATATGTTTTGGAAAGTATCTCAAGTAAGCAGTGCAGCACTGCAGAGGAAGGGCTGCTCCAAAGGAATTTCAATCCTCTCCAGACCCTCTTCTGTTCAGGTACTTGAGGAACAGTCACTCTTCCACTAAGATAAAAAGTAAAATCAGAAGCTGTTGATAGATGCTCCCTCTCATATATTAGCCTACCTGTTACACCTTGCCTCTTTCATAATAAGAGTTCAAACCCATCTCTCACACTCCTGTAGAGCTGCCTAACTACCTGTGTAAAACCTAGAGAGGTGTGGGAGGAGGTTCCCTGGCCTTGCCAGCCTCTGGGCCATCATGCAGAAAGCAATGCAAAACCCTGTGGAATCCAAGAAGTCAGAATGTGACATGGAGCATGTAACTCACCTAAACATGCATCATGGAATGAACCTAGAAGTTAATCAAAACAGTAACCCTGCAGGAAGAATGAAGGACTTTTATTTCAGTGTGTATTTATATAACAATTGTTAAATAATTTTAAAAGGGGGGAAAAAATCCTCCCAACAAGTATTTGACCCTATTGCAAATGAATGAGGCCACGGAGCCAAGATCTTCTCAGAGAAGAGTCTAGATCACTAGCTGTTATACAGAATACGGTTGCTCTCTCTTCCTGGAAATAGAAATAAAGCAGATGTATTTATTGAGGGTACCAAAATCCTGTGCTGTAAAACCTTGGCTAATTCTGGTTAAATAGGTACCAATTCACTCTGCATGGACTACAACTGAGTTAAACCTCTGAGAAGGGTGATTTGAATTAAATGGGAAATTTTGCAGCTAAAAACCTCTGTTTGGCCTGTTATGAATTTGACTCTTAAGCTGTTCCAAAGCGGCTTTACAAAACCTGTCCCTTAGCACCAGGAAATCCAGACTTAAATAAGTGGTTTTTATTTCAAAAAACACAAATGAAGTATGTGATTTTATAAGCTGCAGCCCAATGAACTAAACCTGCCAATCCAAAGCAACTTTGAAATAATCTTATTCCTTGTTGCCTTATCCTTTATGTTCGTCACTGGCACTCAGAAAACAGGCAGCTATTATTCCCATAAAATGGTTTTTTTTAGAGATTACCAAGGACTTGAATATGTTTAATCAGCTTGCTTCCACTCCTGCTGATGTGAAGTCTTTTAATTCCTCTCAGATCTTCATTTTTCACATGAGTGACAGATCTAAATATTAGGAAAATAAACTCAACTTCTTCATACAATCTTTCTTTCTTTATAGAAAATAAATAATACTTTTGTTATACACTGAAGATGCAGGTTGAGTTATGATAGACCTACTTGCTGATTGTTTTATTTCACCTCTGCTGATTTCTGGACCTTTTTTTCCCTGCACATAGCATTTGTTCAAAAAATGTTGCTTTTAAATTCACAAAGGTGTGCATTTTTTAATTTCAGAGCTGAAGTCTTTTCTGTCTTTCATCCATAGGTTTCTTGGTTTTTGCATTTTTTTCTTGAGATCTTTGTGAGCCTAAAGACATTTTTTTGGATTTTTTTGGATTGCTCAAGAACATCTCTATGAGGCAAGGACAATCAGGCAAGTGGTTAACTATGTCAGAAGTATCACAGGGAGTTTCAGACTGGCTCTCTTATTCCCATTCAATTTCTCCAAATGCAAAGTCAGTCTTTACTCCAGCTATTCAAGAAAACCTGCTCTCTGTTACTTTGCAGGCAATACCAATTAAAAGACAATTTGAGACTTCTAGAATATTTTGAAATACTTAACACTTTGCAAAAAGAGGAAATGTCCCAAAAAAATCACTGATTTTAAGGGCTTAAAATTATGTTTCTAAGGCATATACATCACTTCTAGAAAGAACAAATTGCTCAAACATTAATCACTCTTCCTCCTACTAGCAGACTCTACCCATGTCTTTATAAAATGTTTCCTGTTTCAAACAATGCTGTCTACCCTCCAGTGTTTCCATGAACCATTAAAATTGCCACTGCTGTTTGTATATTGACTAAATTAATTTCATCATGTAAGCATGTTGTAGTTTAGCCCCAGCCAGCAATCAAGCCCTACACAGCCTCTTACTAACTCCCCAGCTGGCAGAACTGGGGAGAGAATTGGAAGAGTAAAAGCTATAAAACTTGTGGGTTGGGACATTTCATCAGTTTTTTAGAAAAGGCAAAATCCATGCACACAAGAACAGCAAAACAAGGAATTAATTCTCTTCCCATTGACAGGAATGTCCAGGAAAGCAGGGTTCTAATCCTGTGCAACTTGGGTAGATGGATACTGTTCACTCCAAACTTCCGTCCTACTTCTTTCCCCCAGTCCATTTACTGAGCAGTATAAAAAGTGTCATATGGCCTGGAATATCCCCCTTTGGTGAGTTTGGGTCAGCTGTGTCTTTCCCAGCCCCAGTTTCCTCTCCAGTATGGCAGTATAAACAGCAGGAAAGGCCTAAGCCCTGCTTAGCAACAATAAAAAATATCTCGATGTTATCAACCCTGCTCGGCACAAGTCCAAACATGGCCCCACTGTGAAGAAAATTAACTCTACCCCAGCTGAAACCAGCACAGAGCACAAACATCAAGCTACACAAAGTTTTCAAGCAACCAACCATGTATTCAGCAGAAGAAATATGAAGTATTCCTTTATCTTTGTCTTTTTGTCTACCATGACTAATTCTCTTCTGTGCTTCTGCCAAGTATTGGAAAACAGGTCAAGATAGTTCAGGCCAATCAGATTTGCAGGATTATTTTTTATTACTGACGGAACAAAAAGAACAACATAAATGTTCTTTAAATCAACTTTGCTTACATTAATCCTGTTAATAAACATCAGACATGAGTGGAAACATTTACAACTGTATTACATACATAGCAACTCTATAATTAGTACTACGCTATCATTGTGCAATCATACAGTAGTTTTTAAGTATCAGCGTATTTTAAAATAACATTTTTGCAAAAGTCACTAAGTTAGCAGTAGAAAGAAGTATTTGACCATATATATTTAATTAATATAAAATAGACACTATGCATGGGTGTTCTGATGGAAATACTGCTTCCACCAAAGAAAAAGAAGATAAATGTGAATCAATGTTTTATGAATCGCCCTGTAAAACAATATATTGTGGATTCAAAATTAAATAAGATTATGTCAGCTGATGATTAATTTGAACTAAAATGTGCCTTTGAACAGACAAAAGAAGAAGCCCAGGAAACTCTTTATTTTTCTATTAGTAACTGCGAGCTATGACAAGTTCTACTTTTACATACATCCAACCAGGGGAAGCATAGATATGATACTGGTCAGATTGGTACTGAAGGCAGTGGAGCTGGCTGGGAATTCTAGGAAAGAAATTCTTCCCTTCCTGAAATATAGCAAAGCAAAAGCACTTTTTCTGTTCTGCACTCAGAGTGCTACTCTCCAGCTGCTGACGTTTATTCATATCTTAATATCTAAAAATTTATCTAAGAGAGGTAAACAATAGGTCCAATAAATTGCATCTTGTTCCTTGTTCCTTGGGCTCCTAGGCTCCAGATCACTGGTATGATTTCAGTGGACCTCTAAATTTAATCAGATTTATTTGGAGGGATTCCATTAAGCAGCGTCTTTCCCACAAAATAATACTTCCACAACTGTCACTTTCCCCTTCAATCTTAAATCAGTCAAACTTAACCCAAGACAGTTTTAAAATATATTATCCTATGGGAAGGCCAAGTACCTAGAATGTGTGGACACCAGTGGGCTGCATTCCTCAGCTCCCACTACTAATGCATTGGGAACTTCATCCACCTATACGCCAGTACAATGAGAATGCAAATAATTCAGAGAAACTCAAACCCTTTATTTTGTTGAGTAAGCATGGATCTGTATGTTTTGAAAATTGCATTCATTGTTGGTGCCTTGGCATGATTTTGCCTTTTTTCTCACTCATGATTTTACCGCCTTGACCAAAGTTATGCAAAGCTGTCCTGCAAGCCCACCACCTACCCAATGGATCATTATTTATTCTGGAAACCAACAGTTGTATTCTAAATTTTCCCTTAAATTACTGCCACACTGTTCTTAAGGAAATTTCTTTTGGCCTGGTTTCATAAGTTAGAAGACTACAAGCTAGATTCAAGTGAAGAGCAACGGATTTGGTTTTTTTTGAAATGTGACTATGCAGATAGACCTCTCAATTTCACACAGAAAGAGAAAACTAAAATTTGACACACAACTAGTAGTGGTGCTAGACCCTGATATCCTAATATGAACACAAATAATCCCTGCTAGAAATTTATGAATCCTCATATGTGAAAATTTGGAATATTCGTGGGATTGCAAGGTTTTCCTTCAGTCTGAATGCAGTCAGCGTTTAATGGTCAGTGTGGGTTCAGACATCAGACTGAATATTTTGAGAATATCTATCAAACTTAGAAGTTATTATCCTCTGCATTGAAATGTTTATGTGCAAGCACCATATATTTTTCACTTGGTGATTTTTGCTTCTCATACATGTCACTCCACAGTCTTATTCAGGAGCCTGTTACGCTAAACAGTGTGACTATGCTGGTATTTTGTTTCAATGAAGAATGCCCTTATAACAAAACCCTCTTCCTTGTCCCCTGATTTTCTTTTTTTTCCCACCAAAAAGAAACCCCAAAGCCTTTAGGAACTTATAACTTGATTTCTTTAGAATAAAACCAAACCAGGAGAATAACTCCACAAGTCAAACTACTTTACTCAAGCTGCTGATTGTCACTAATTTCAGTGGATCTCAATACACCTCATTTGAAATATATCTGCCAGATTTGCCGGATATTTATGTCTGACAGATAACAATTCAATGCAATGCTTTCAGCACCATTTCACTGCTCTAATTGTTCATATCAGATTGTGTCCCATGTTAGTATAGATACAGTAGGAGTAACTACTATAACAAAGAAAAATCCCAAAACAAGGTGATTACAGAAATGTTGAGATTAGCTTTGCTGTCACTCTTCATTGAGTACCTGGCTTTTTTGATTGTGGAGTCAAGGCAGGGAGAACTGGGATACTACAAACCATGAATTCAAAAGGGAGAATAAACTGCAACAAGTGCTGGAATTTTTAACTCCTTTTAAAGGAATGGCTCTCTAAATATGGAGTTTAACTATCAGAAAAGCAATTTTACACTATCCATCTAAAATATTCAAGGTTTGATTTTCTTTGACCTGTCTCAAAATACAGCACATACAACAGGCTTCTGATTTATTTGCTGTCATGCTTTGCTGTCAAGCCTTTTCCTCTATCATATTAAGGTATTTGTGAAGGCTGAGCTTGTTCCTCCATTATGCAAAGTGTCAGACTGATGAGACCTATCAAATTATTTTTCAATGTGAAAGTTTGAAAAAAAGACATGGGACTAATTATAAGAAAGCATGGCTTAAGGCCACTTAAATGGCATGAGGTCGTGCCATTTGCTTCAAACTCTTCAGACTTCCTACTTAGATGACTTTCAAAAAGCTGCTAGTAACAGAAGTTAAGAAATATGCTAGACAAAGTACAACATACATCCTTAATAGTGTATTTCAGTCATAATTTACTCAACAATGAACAGTACTGTTCTGGCAGCTGAAGCAACATCTTAGATGCAGTACAAACACTGAAGTACAGATCATTTTATTAGCATTTCTATTCATAATAAAATTAGCTACTCTTCATATTGCTTTCTTTATTTCATGAGGCATTTCTGGACAGATGTATCTGTCCTCTACCTTTCTGGATGACTTCTTGTCCCTCATAAATACAGAATTGTCTAAATTGACCATTGTTGAACTGGCTACTGATGAATCTAGTTAAAACCTATGAGTAAATTGCATATTTGAAAATTAGTACATATCATAAACATGCTGTGAACAGATAGCACTGAAATAGATTTATGCAGATTGTTCAAAGGTCATGTCCCAGAAGCTGGTTTTTTTGTACTTATCTACTGAAGAAATAATGTCAGACAGGCTGTGATTCCTTCAAAAGTATTATTATAATTCTTTAAAAATTAATTTTCAAAATTTAAAACCTTTTTTCTAGATACAGAATCAGCGAAAGCACCTGAGCCTTCAAAACCTGAAAACTCAACTGAACCAGCTAAGACAACTCAACAGGAAGAGCATGAACTCAAAGATGGGAAAGAGAATGCTAAGTGAGTAAATTAAAAAAATGTGAAGGTTCTACCTGATATCCTGACTTAACATTTCTGTGTGCCATATTTCAGTTCTTTAAACGTCCCTCCTCTAAGGATCTAATGAAGTTTATTTCAATTTATATGAGCATATATATGAGGCATTCATTTATTATGTGCTTTTGATTGTTGTGTATATCATCCTAAATTGCTGGAATGAGAAAAAGAATTTGCTCAACTACAGTTATATGCTAATTTTAGCAGTGTTGCTGCTGAATTATGACTATATCTTAGCAAAAAAGAAAATCTCAGAATTCTGCCCCAAAACTAGAATGTTTGTCACATCATTCTGACTTCAAACTTTTTACCCTGTACTTTTTATTTTTTTTTAGTTATACCATTAAATCAGCATTAGCCTCAACAATAAGAAGATTAGTACTATCTCTGCCTGAGAAAAGACAAATAAATGAAGCAGTAGCATTCCTTCAGGGGAAAATCTAGGGTCAATGAACCTTTGTAAAAGCTGCAGTGACTGTTTTGTGAAAATAGAAATACATATGAAGCCTAGAAGAAAACAAACTTGGAATAGTCAATAGTAATTTCAGAAGCAGAGATTTATAGTTTCATGGAACCATAGAATTCTTTGGGTTGGAAGGGACCTTTAAAGATCATCAAGTCCAACCCCTCTGCAATGAGCAGGGACAGCTATAAGTGGATTAGGTTGCTCAAAGCCCCATCCCAGCTGAACTTGAATGTTTCCAGGGATGAGGCATCCAACACCTCTGGTAACAGGTGCCAGTGTTCCACCACTCACATTGTAAAAAATTTTTTCCTTATATTTAATCTAAATCTGCCTTCTCTAAATTTAAAACCATTAAACCTTGCCATGTCACAACCCCTGCTAAAATGTTTGCTCACATCTTTCTCACAGGGCCCTTTTAAATACTAAAAGGCTACCAATGAGGTCTTCTGAAGCCTTCTCTTCCCCAGGCTGAAGAACCTCAACTCTCTCAGCCTTTCCTCATAGGAGAGGTGCTCCAGACTTTTGATCATGCTTTTGGCTCTCCTTTGGGCCTGCAGATGACACCACCCAGCTTGGTGTCATCTGCAGATTTGCTGAATGTGCACCTGATGCCTCTGTCATGGAGGTTCCATAGTTTCTCTGGGCAATCTGGCCCACCTTTGACCACCTTTATTATGAAAATTAAATGGAATTAAATTTTCCTTTGCTTTAACTTTTTTCTTTTGCCTCTCATCCTCTTGCTCCGTACCTCTGGCACTCTTTCTAAATCCGAGTGTGTAGTTAGACTTCATTGCTGCAAGAACACACTGTGGATTTGTGTTCAATTTGTCGTCCACTAAGACCCTCAGATCCTTTTACACAAAGCTGTTACCTAGTCAGTCAGCTCCAAGTCTTTACTCTCACATGGCCTATTTCTATGCATCATGAAGTTTCTGCCTTTTGAGATCACTTTGAGTGGAGAAAAACACGTACGCTCAATACAAAACAGGGTAGAAACTCCTCCTGCTTGTCTTTGCCTTCTATTGTTTTGATTATTCTAATGAAACAAAGAAAAAGTCTTTCCCTGACATGGAGTTAATTTATAGAGATGATTACCTGTTTCCTCCCCTTTACTAAGACAAACTTTGTGCCTGGAATTAATCAAGCAAAATGCTACTGCACATGCCTCGATAAAATAATAGATGCAATTAAAAATAACTCTGACTAGAAAGAATGGAAAAGTTATAAATAACTTAGTCACTTCAATGTGAACCACTAGGTCAAAAATTAAAACTTAGATAAGAATCTCCTTTTTTTTAATCATACAATATGTTATTCAATGCTTACAGTTCCACTGGTAAATCTTGTAACCATGGTTAACATAATTGCTATGTGCTTATGAAACAAAAGGGTATGTTGCTTATTAGTAGAAACAAAATCTGTCTTTTAAAAGGAAATTAAAAATATTTACATTAAACATTGCTTTCTCAGAGGTGTTCTGACTCAGAAGTATCTATCCAGATATATCTATCCAGTCTGATTTAAGCAAAAGCTTCTAAAAATACAGTAAATATTTGGTAAATTCTACTGCTAAAACAGTTAGCCACTAAATTCTGCAATAGGGTCTGGAAGTCATGGCACTGGTGTCATTGCACTGGCATGAAGCTAAACTAACTAGATTTGTTTGACTGTCAGAGCTGAAGGGAGAATTATTTTAAAATGTACATTTGAGAGAAATTAATTAATTGCTTCTTCAGGTTCATGGCAGTCTAGACACTGCTTCTGATCAAGATTACTGCCTTATTGAGTCTATGTGTTCAAATTTGCTAACAAGAATATTTTTAGGGAAGTCAACTGCCTTTATCAGATCAAAAAGAGCTGAGAATTTGAGTCAAATAGATACATGTGATTTACAAAAGTAGCAGTAAATGAAACATGCTCAAACCACTGTCTAGCACTGAGGCCAACCAGAACAATACAAAATGCCTCCTGAAGAGTTTGGTTATTGCTAATTTCTAGTTATTTCCATACATGGGAGTTATTAGGAAAAGTGCTGGTTATATTAGTCAAAGCCATATCAAGGCCTGTTAGGACAGTCAGGATAGTCAACTAAGAGTCCCAATGTCCAGGAGTTTTCTCTTTTGTTACTGTTTAATCCATATTTGGATACTGCTCAAACAAAGATCAGTAACAAGTGCTACCCCTTGGGCAACACCAAGCTGTGTGGTGCAGCCTAGAAACTGGAGGGAATGGATGTCATCCAGAGGGACCTCGACAGGCGTGAGAGGTGGCACAAACCTCATGGAGTTCAGAAGGACCAAGTGTAATGTCCTGCACATGGGTCACCCTAACCACCAGTATCTATACAGCCTGCATGATGAACAGATTGAGAGCAAACCTGCAGAGAAGGACTTGGAGATATACTGGTGAATGAAAAATTAGCCATGGGATGGCAATGTGTGCTCAGAAGTCAAGATCCACCTGTATCCTGGGCTGCATCAAAAAAAGTGTGGCCAGCATGTCGAGGGAAGTGATTCACCCTCGTCTACTCCACCCTGCTGAGATTCTACCAGAAGTGCTGCATCCAGCTCTGGAGTCCTCAGTACAAGACATGGACCTGGTCTAGAGAGAGACACAAAAATAATCAGAGAGGAAAGGCCGAGAGAATTGTGATTGGTCTTGCAATTCTACAAGGACTAATGACTTTAAAGAGGGCAGATTGAGACTAGATATGAGGATGAAATTGTTTTGTGAAGAGAGTGGTGAGACACTGGTTTGTCAGAGAAGCTGTGAGAACTTCCCCATTGTTGGAAGATGTTCAAGGTCAGATTGGACCTGACACGGCTCTGTGCAACTTGATCTAGTGGGAAATGTGTCTGCCCAAATGGCATAGACTAAATGATCTTTAAAGGTCTCTTGGAAATCAAACAATTCTATGACTCTATGATATTGTTATGGAAATCAAGATTGGCAAAATAGTGGTAGAATTTTCATACCTGGAATTTCAGACTTTGGCAAGCAGAGCAAGATCCTAGCAACAGACTCCATCAACAATGCAAAGTGGTGGACCAGGTTTAGTGTCCATCCAGGGAATCCAGTCAGGAGCAAAAAAGACAGGGTCAGTGACAGGGCTGGAAACAAGGCTGCAAGAGAGGTCCAGAGTCTGTCTAGGAGACAGAACTAGAGACAGAACGGGAGGTAGACACACCTAGACATAGCTCAGGCAGTGGCCAAGGCCTGACCTGAAGCAGACAACAAAGACCCATGGGCATAAAGTGTGGGTGGAAGTTCCACTGGGAGTCCCAGTGCAATTAATTTATGTAGATTATTCTCCTATGCTAATTATCTTTCAAGAGTCAAAGTTTAATCAAAAGTCACCTGATTTGTAAGAAATCATATGTATGGCCATTAACTCTGAGCAATATACTTAATGAAATAAGGTTAATGAATATATATTTTTTCACAATCATATATATCCAGAGCTCATCAACTTTCATGGAAACATTAATAGAAAAGTTTTCACCTTATCTGCTGTTACTGTGACATTTAACTTTTTAAAATGCATCTGTGCAGGCCTAGATACATAGAATAAGGAAGAGGGAAAGAAGACAATTTTACTGTTTGGAACAGCACATTTTTTCATTTCCTGTTAAAGAGCAATTTATTTTTTTGCTTGCTAAGTGAAAGACAATTTTGACAAATACTGCATTTGGGGAACTATATAAATAATAATAAATAAAGTAATATGGGAACTAAAAATTCCCATAGAAATTATTTGTCCTCAAAACAAACAAACAAACAAACAATCTGCCTTTCCCTCTCAGCACATCCTCATTTTTAAAACACTCCAGTACATGGTGATGGACATCAATAAAGAGTAGAGACACACAGCTCTGGTCTCAGCCACTTGAACACTGAAAGAAGAAACCCACAAGAATGGATGATGTACCAAGCACTGAATTATGGCTTAGTGACTGAAACATTTAATATCTGCTTCCTAATGACTTGGATAGAATTGCACACAAATTGGCTCTGTCTGCCAATATATTTTTTCTCCCCTCTATCTTTATAGATAATGTAGTAGAGCAACAGGTAATTTTCATTAATAGTTCTTTGCTGAGCAATAATAACCTGTGGAAGGGTGGGCTAAGACTACCCTGTCTCTTCACAGCAAGAAATAAGGGAGCAGAAGAGCACTCAGCAACTCATTTGCACTCTAATAGAAGACAGGGAGTCTTATTAACAAGAAACTAGCACAAAGGTTCAAGGTATGAGACAAAGAAGTTGCATCAAGTCAGAAGAGACAGAGTATAGAAGAAGGTAAACAAAGCATCTGACAATATAGAACAGAGAAAATGAAGGAGCACAAAGAGCTTTTATGACCTCTCTGTGTCTTTTAAAAGCCTTTAAGCCCTGTTGAATTTGTAAGGATATTTCATCTTCCCAGATTACCAAAGAGATTACAATGTACTATTTATACTAAGGCAGTACACTGAAACTCCAGTCAAAGATCATGAAC